GTAAGCACGCTGCTTTGTATGGCTCTGCTATGCAGACAGGGGAGAGATCTGTATAGTTTACATACAGACCTCTCCCCTGTCAGTGTTACTCGGTGATCACTGGGTCCCGGTGGGGAACCACTGGCTGGCACCTGGTGATCGACAACTGAAGCTGCCAATGGTTGAGCGGGTACTACCCGCTACCCCAGAAAATACAAAACATATAAAAAATGAGTGCGCTGTACACTAAATAATCATAAACAATAATCAATCAAATAAATGCTGCTACATAAAAAATGTACAAAAATAATTGAAATGGTATAAATCCATATTTATATATTAAAAAATTGAAAGTCCCAAAATCCAATAACACAGTGCCGTGTTCTAAAGAAATCATCCAACGGAAAGTGCATAGGTGTCAACAAATGCTTGATACAAAAGAAAAAAATCAGCCTCTTACCAGACACTTTGATCTCCAATCAAGAGATCAAATGAGCAGATGGTGATCAGATCCCACACTGACACCCTAGTTAGCCATATTAAGGAGATGAAAAAGGAGATAAATGGACAACTGCAGGCTCCCTTGAACGAATCTATCACATCAGACAGCTCTCCACAACATGCAAGGAAAAGTTTAAAACAGAAGAAGAAAACTTCATAGTGCGACCCGATAAACCAGCAAAGAATTTATTAAAGTATTGCACTTACATAGATAAGGTGCATAGAGGCAGTGTAAACATTTAAAACTCCAGTGGTGTCAGACCACCAGCCAGAATGAGGTTGACTTTGAAGCTCGTTTCTCCAAAAATGGCGTCCTCTGGGATTGGAGAATACGCTATTCGGAAATACGAAATCACGTGTATATATATATATATGTGTGTGTGATTTTGTGCAGCTCTGCTGCCCTGTAGAAGCAGTTCTGCTTATAGGGTGGTTGGAAAGCGGTTAATGGACTTCCATGGGTGGAGTAGAGCACTGGAAGGCTTTATTTAGTTAAGCAGATGACATAAGAACAAGGATTGATGAGTTTGGTGTGGAGGAACCCAAGTGGCCTGTACAGAGCCCTGACCTCAACCCTACTGAACACCATTGAAATGATTTGGATTGTGAGCCTGGTCTTCTCGTCCAACATAAGCAGTTGACCTTGTTTTGGCTGAATGGGCACAAATTCCCACAGACACACAGCAAAATCCTGTGGAAAGCCTTCCCTGAAGAACAGAGGCTGTTACAGCCGCAAAGATAGAGGGGGCAACTTCATGTGTATCCCCATGGTTTTGGAATGAGGTGTCCAACAAGCTCAGAAGATAGGTGTGATGGTCAGATGTCCACAATCCTTTGGCCATATACTGTAATGTTAATTGACCAGGGTTATCTTTGAAGTAATTAACATTATGGAAGATAAAAAGTGCCAATTTTATTCTGTGATTTATCCTGTATAAAATAGACATGGTCTATTTATCAGTGTTTTCACACATTTTTTTACTCAAGATTCACTCATTTTTCCAGTTGAATCATATGTGAAAATTTTTGGGTGAAAACATTAATTAATAGCATTTATGGTACAAAGCGGGCGGCGCAGTGGCTTACTGGTTAGCACTTCTGCCTTGGGTTCGATTCCCAACCATGGTGCCTCCTGCATGGAGTTTGCATGTTCTCCCTGTGTTCGCGTGGGTTTCCTCCGGGTACTCCAGTTTCCTCCCACCCTCCAAAGACATGCTGGTAGGTTAATTAGCTCCTGTCTAAATTGTCTTAGTTTCATCCCTGGCCACGCGGGATCTCCTGCATGGTGGGGGTTGGGGAAAGACCTGGCAACCTACCCTGTAAAATAATTGCTAAGAGAATTCATGGAAAATGACGCTTATGAGTGACGGTCCATGCAATCGCCAAGGGTCAGATACGTCTGAATGGATAGATAGATAGATAGATAGATAGAACAAAGCATTGTGTATGTATTTACCAATGAAATAAAGTTGTTTTGTTCTTTTTTTTTTTTCTTTTATTGATCTGTATTTCAGTGTGCCATTACCAACATGAACGAACACCTAAAAAAATTAAATAATTGGTAAAAAATAAAATTTAAAAATCAGCAAAAAAAGAAGGATTAAAATGAATTTAGTAATCATGAGAACCAATTACGGGGACTAGATATAAGAAATTCTCTGTGTAAATGCATCAGCGTTCACATAAACATCACAAGTGTTCCTCTACGTTTTGAAATTTCACGTTTCTCAGGACAAACATAACACTAATTTTAAAAATGTTTGTTCCAATGTTGTCAAATCGAAGGTGTTAACCATTATACAGGTTATTAGATGGATTTCTTTGGTGAATATAAGCCGTACTGAAAGCAACGTATTTTAAGAAACTTCAAACAGAAAAGAAAATGTCCTAAGAACATTCAAATTCAAACAGCCAAATATTGTTTGAAAAAATCCCAAAACGAATGAGTAAATGATGGTTTGTTCACACAGATCGAATGTATATGCTGTTTCATTGGAAAAATAACTGTACTTTAAAAAAAAAAAACCCTATAAGAGTTTAATAAATGATAAAATAAGTACAGTGTCGTGGTTAGCACCTCCACCTAGCACTAGGGTTTCGGTTTAAATACCAATCACGACACCGCCTGCCTGGAGTTTGCATGTTCTCCCTGTGCCTGCTTGGGTTTCCTCCCGGTACTCTGGTTTCCTCTTACACTCCAAAGACATGCAGGTAGTTTGGCCCTAGTATGTGTATCTATGGGTTTGAGTTAGGGAACCTTGGATTGTAAGCTTCTTGGGCAGGGACTGATGTGAATGTACAATATACACTTATCGGCCACTTTATTAGGTACAGCTTAAATCTCCCCCCCCCCCCCCCCACCATTCCACCACCACCACCACCACCACCAGCCTGAACCATTGATAGAAGGTAGGATGAATCCATGCTTTCATGTTGTTTACGCCAAATTCTGACCCTACCCTCTGAATGTTGCAGCAACCAGCCTGACCATTCTCCTCAGAACTCTGACATCAACAAGGCATTTTCGTCCACACAACTGCGCTCACTGAATATTTTCTCTTTTTCGGACCATTCTCTGTAAACCCTAGAGAGGGTTGTGTGTGATAATCCCAGTAGATCAGCAGTTTTTGAAATATTCAGACCAGCCCATCTGGCACTAACAACCGTGAGATGTTCAGAGTCACTTAAATGCCCTTTCTTCTCCATTCTGATGCTCGGTTTGAACTTCAGCAAGTTGTCTTCACCATCTCTACATGCCTAAATGCATTGAATTGCTGCCATGTGATTGGCTGATTAGCAGTTTGTGTTTCCAAGCTATTGAACAGGTGTACCTAATAAAGTGGCCGGTGAGTGTGTGTGAATATATATATATAGTGCTGCAGAAATTATTGGCACTATATAAGTACCTGAAATAATTTAAATAAAACATACCTGTACTAGACGTGCAAAATGAAAAACTTTGTTTTGTTTAATTCGTTATTTGACTAATTTTGTTTTGTTCGAATAATTAAATTAGTTTAATTCCTTTTTAGGAATTTATTTTGTGTATTCTAATTCGAACGAATTCGAAATTTCGAACAGATTCGAAAATAATTCTAATGTTACAATCCATAATCCACAATCCATGTGGGTTTTTGATGGTATATGGGCTATGTGAAGAGTTGCATGACCATGTTGGAAATTTCTATTTCAGCAAAATTTTCACAGTACCTTTCTTGATCACTACTCACATCAACATAGCGCAGCTCTCAATTTTTTGTAAAATATTTCAGTCTTTTCTAATCTATTCTATTCTTTTCTAATATTGTATATTCTATTCTAATGTATTCTGTTCAAATTCATTCTATTCAAAATTGGAATTTTGGAAGGCAGTTATATTTTTTATATTTTATTCTGTTCTATTATTTTTCTATACTGTTATATTCTTTTCTATTCTTTGATTCTCTTTTCTAATCTTTCTAATCTTTTCTATTATTTGCTATTCTATTCTTTGATTTTCTAATCTATTCTAATCTTTTCTATTCTATCCTAGATTGTAAGCTCGAAAGAGCAGGGCCCTCAATCCCCTCATGTTTTGCATTGTATTGGTATTGTTCTGTCACATGTTCTGTCCCCCTTTGTAATGTACAGCGCTGAGCGAACTATTGGCGCTTTATAAATACTGTATAATAATAATAATAATAATTTTTTTTTATTTTCTATTCTAATCTTTTCTATTCTATTCTAATGGATTCTATTATTTTCTATTCCTTTCTTTTCTGTTCTAATTTTTTGTATTCTTTTCTATTCTATTCTTTGATTTTCTGTTCTAATATTTTCTATTTTAATGAATTCTATTTTTTTTCTATTCCCTTTTTTTTCTGTTCTATTTTGTTCTGTTTTACTACTGTATTCTTTCTATTTTTTTTTTCCATTCTTTTTTTTTCCTCCATTCTTTTATTTTCTATTTTATTTAATTCTATTCCATTCATTTTCTTTACTATTTTTTTTATTTTTGTTCTTGTTTTCAAATTTTGACTCGATTCCAAATTCAGACGAATTTTGTTTCATTATTTCAGATTCATTTAAATTCTTTACTATTGTAATTCGGAATTCAAATGATCTCTGAATAACAGAAAATTTGTCCAGATTTCGATTCGGAAGAAACCAACTGCACATGTCTAACCTATACCCAATGCAAGGTTTGCATATTAAACAACGCCCCCCCCCCCCCTCCTTGTAAAATGCCATATTCCATGCCAGGGGCAGACTGAGCATTTGGAAACTCGGGCACTGCCCGAGGGCCCGGGGTCAGTAGGGGGCCCCATGAGATTCCCCTGGTACCTTTTTCATAGGCTTTTTTGAGCTTTGGGTAGGACACAGGAGCCCCATGATCCCCTATTGCCCGGGGGCCCCATGAGTTGTCAGTCCCCCCCTGTTCCATGCAATTCTAATTGATTAAGATACAATTACATGATTAAACGGCAAACCTTTTAATGCTTTTCTAGTGTTTAACACATCATTTTTGTCTTTCTTTTAAGGGATTACTTGTTGCCACCATCTTCTGTTTCTTTAACGGAGAGGTAAGATTTATTATCATCCTCCTTTCTTGTATTGGGATATTAGGATGGAAATTCATTTTATGTGGGAACTTGTGTGTTTTCTATTTTGAAGAGTATCAGTCAAAGTTGAGCTTACTGTATATAAGAATCTGTACATTTAGTTATAGATGATTGGAATTGAGCAGACTTGTATATGAATAATTTATATTTCTTATGTACGGGGCTATGTTATGTGAGGGTGTTGTGCATACATACGGCAGATATTCAACATAGGGGGTCAGGCTGTTGGCAGCACAACAACTGTTAGGTATCAAGTGAACCCTGACTTAGGGGATGGTTTACTAAAGGGAAATAGGTTGTTAACTTTGCAAAGGAATTCTCCCCAAAGCTTGGTAAATGTGGTATCTGCTTCCATTATCCAATCCTGTACAGGCAAATATTCTTTTTTTTCCCTTGTGTGTAATTAGATGTTCTTTGCAAAGTGAAATTTCACCACATTTGCTAAACTCCGGGGGAAATTCCCTTACAAAGCGAACAGCCTGTTTGACTTTAGTAAATCAACACCATACAGTCATGGTTAGACAATGGGGATGATCAGGGGCCGACTGACCATTTGGAAACTCGGGCACTGCCCGAGGGCCCAGGGTCAGTAGGGGGCCCCATGAGATGCCCCTGGTACCTTTTTCATAGGCTTTTCTGAGTTTGGGCAAGGACACAGGGGCACCATGATCCCCTATTGCCCGGGGGCCCCATGAGTTGTCAGTCCGCCCCTGGGGATGATTTACTAAAAGCAAATATGCTCTTCACTGTGTCAGGGAAGTTGCACTTTGGAAGGGAATTTTCCCCGGGGCATAGTGAATAAGGTAAAGTTTCATTTGTAGAGAATACTCCATTATGTGCGAGGAAAATTTAAAAACAGCATTTTTTGCACACACATGATTGGATGATGGAAGTCTGCAGGTCTTCACATCATTCTATAAGATATGGGGAAAATTCCCTTGCAAAGTGCAACTTTCCTTGCAAAGTGAACAGCCCATTTGGTTATAGTAAATTCACCCCAAGGACTAAATTAGGAGACAAATATAAACTATTCCTAGGTAAGCCTGCCTATTTATTATTATTCAATGCCCAACTCCAGGAGAGACATGTTTTTTTTTTACGTTTTGGATCAAGCGATGAGGGCTTAGAACCCCTGCCAGGGTTTTATTGCTCTCAGTGTTAACGCGGTTGTAAAGGCTGAATGTTTTTTACCTTCATACATTCTATGCATGAAGGTAAAAAAACCTTCTGTGTGCAGCAGCACAACCCAGCCCCCTCAATACTTACCTAAGCCTCATCGTGATCCAGTGATGTGAATGACAGTCTCAGCTGTCCCAGGTCTCTGCCTCGTCATTGGCTGGACAGCAAGCCGGAGCCATTGGTCAATCACAGCCAGTCAGCCAATGAGTAGGGAAGGGGGCGGGGCCAAGCCACGGCTCCGTGTGTGAATGGACACATGGAGCATCGGGTGCCCCCATAGCAAGCTGCTTGCTGTGGGGGCACCTGATAGACAGGAGGAGCCAGGAGCACCTGCAGGGAACCCAAGAAGAGGAGGATCCAGGGTGCAAAACCCCAGCACACAGCAGGTAAATATAACGTCTGTTATTTTACAGAAAAAAAGAACCTTTATAATCACTTTATAAACCTTTATAATGGCACCGCAGAACCCCAATGTGCAACATGCGTGTTTTCATGTGTTGTACTAATACATGTACTCCTGCAGAACAAACATGAGAGCTAAGCCTTTCTTTAATCACTTCTTGCCCAGTGTCATTAGTACAGTGTCAGAGTTTTTTATTAGCACTAATCACTGTATTGGTGTCACTGGGGATATCAGTGTCAGTGTCAGTGTCAGAATGCCCGCTGAAGTCCCGCTATAAGTTGCTGATCGCCGCCATTACTAGTATAAAAAAAAAAAAACAAATCCCAGTATATATACAGCCATTTGTAAAGCTATCACTTTTACATAAACCAATAAATTTACACGTGTTGGGATTTTTTTTTACCAAAGACATATCGCAGAATACATTTTGGCCTAAATTTATGACGAAATTTGATTTTAAATTTTTTTACTGGATATATTTTATAGCAAAAAGTCAAAAATATTGTTTTTTTTTTTTTTTCCCAAAATTGTCGGCCTTTTTTTGTTTATAGAGCAAAAAAAACAAAAAAACACAGAGGCGATCAAATACCACCAAAAGAAAGCTCTATTAGTGGGGGAAAAGGACACACATTTCATTTGGGAGCGCGTTGCACGACCGCACAGTTGTCAGTTAAAGTAACGCAGCGTTGTATCACAAAAAATGGCCTGATCATGAAGGGAGTAAATCCTCTGGAGGGTAGGTGGTTAAAGCAGTAGTAAACCCAAAACTGTAACATTATTATTATTATTATTTACATCGAGTTTATATAGCGCCAAAGGGTTTGCTCAGCGCTGTACAATAGGGGGGGGGACAATACATGGCACAGTACAACAATAACAAACAGCGTGCGAGGGGTAAGAGGGCCCTACTCTTTCGAGCTTACAATCTAGGAGGGAGGGGGTAAAGGTACAGTAGGAAGTGGCTGAGGGGAATGAGGGGTGGGAGGAAAGAGGGAGAATGGCCGTTAGGTGAGGGTGGGGTAGGCTTCCCTGAAGAGATGGGTTTTGAGGGAGCGCCTGACATATTGCAGCTTACCAATCAGATGTGGTGGCTGCATTTGTTTTCTTTTTTTCTTCCCTCTGTTTTCACCTGGTGATCTGTCCACTAAAACACCTCCTGTATTAGAGAAACCCTCTGGAGGAATGAGCATTGGAGGGACAGCAGACTGTAGTATTCTCAGTCGGGGGTGGGGGGAGTGTTAAAATGCTCTAGTAGATTTTATATTCAATATTTTTATTGAAGATTTTACAACATAACAGGGTAAAGATATACCGTTCAATTGAGGTGATATAATGCAGTATATAAATGAATAATATACCCCATCGGAACTGTGGGATATTAGAAAAGTCTCTAAGACGATGTCATCAGAGGTATTCTGGATAGTGTATTGAACTTGGTGGAGTGTATGAAGAATAGGGGGAATATTAGGGAAGAGATGGTAGGGGGGAAAATGAAGGGAAGGGGGGGATGGGGGGGATGTAACTTGTGGAGGAGGAAGTGCCAGTCTTGCTCTAGTAGATTTTGATGCACTAACAAATTAAAGCTAAACTCACACACTTTATAAGCAGTTACAGCAAACATTTTTTTCCCCTTTTGGGATAAAGGCTTTGCATGAATAAATAAAAGCTGATCATTTTAATCACCCTTAACAGTGTTAAGTGGTTTGTCTCATCCATGTAAACTGATACTTGCTGCTGGAGAGTTTGTTCTGTTGAAAAACAGAGTTGCTGGTTGGATTAACAGATGAAAATAAAAGAAAGAAAGTCTGAAAAGGGAAACTAATGCAGTCACCGCATCTAAGAATTGATAAGCTGCAATATAATAAATATTTGCTTTTGTGTTTAATACCGCTTTAAGGCTGATTATTCAGTAGAAGTCCAATTGTAGCTGGCTCTCTATTTTTGGACTTTTTCGAACAGAAATAAGAACATGCTTCCAATAGTACATTTAAAGTATAACTAAAGGCAACATTTATTTATTTTTGTTTGTTTGTTTGGTTTTTTTTTTAGTTTTGGACAGAGTGGAGAGGGATTAGAACACCTGTCAGGTTTTTATTGCTGTTAGGAAGATGTACCCTCCCTATATGTCCTGTTTACCAATATAACCATTTGGGTTGTCCCCAGAACAGGAATAGATGGGGAATCTTCCAATGGGAACACTAGTTCTGGCGACAACTAATGCCGGCCATACACGGGTCGAAATTTGACTGATTTTTCGCCCGAAAATCGGACCTAATAATCAGCCAATTTTCGCTCTGTTAGTGGGTCAATGGCACCGGCCAATTTTCATGGTCCCTCCCCTTTTCAGTGATCAGGCATGTTGGAAAATTTGTGAAAAACGACCGATTTTCGACTCAATGATGGTCAAATCGTACGATCGTTTTTCTGAAAAGAATATGCGCATGAGCCGTAACCTGGAAGGAACAGAAGTTTCACCTGTCATATGGGGTGAACTTTATGACTTGACCGATTTTCTAAATCATTGATGGTACCATCGGATTACCAAGCGAACGCCGCTTTCAAATTTTCGGACGCAAAATTGTTAGCAATTCGACCCATGTGTGGCCTGCATAAGGATTCCATTACTTTGGAAGGATTTCATCTCACTTCCTGTTTTGGCTTTGGGACGGGAAGTGAAGGGAAATCTCCCCAATGGGACACAGATGACGGGTGTTAATCCTCCATTACTTTCCCAAAAGGAAAAAAAAAGTTTGCATACTTTTCTATTTTAACAAATCAAAAGGGAGCAAATAAGAGAAGTTCATTGTTAGAGTTTACATATCATCTTCATGTAAAAGTTTCTCTTTCCTCTAATCATACAGATTTCATATAGCAGAGCAGAATAAGTAATCCTATCAGTAATGGTTTTCATTTGCATTACTTTTCACACCCCCCCGCAGTGCAGCTGCATGTTGTCAGAGCTCACAGGGAATGTTAATCTGATCTTTGGCTTTCAGGGTTATTTTATGGAGGGCGTATTACTTGTGTAAAACCACCATCCTCAGCGATATTACACCCAAAACCAAAATTGGAATATATTGCAGGACACCAATCATTAGATTTAGCATTTAGCAGCGTTCAGGAGCGTTAACATTTTATTAGTGTTTTTACAGTACATGCAGAAAAAAGCTGTTAGGAGCATTTTAGAAATGTTTAGTAGCATTTAGCAGCGTTTAGGAGCATTCGGGGAGGCACAGTGGCTTAGTGGTTAGCACGTCTGCCTTGCAGCAAATGGGTCATGGGCAGGGGCAGACTGACAACTTATGGGGCCCCCGGGCAATAGGGGATCATGGGGCCCCTGTGTCCTTGCCCAAACCCAAAAAAGCCTATGAAAAAGGTACCA